AACACCACCAGACATGTTTTCAAGGTGAACACCCGGTACCACACAACTCAAAAAGGTATATAAAAGCTATTTCATATAGTCCCATCATCCCTTCATAACAAATCCCACGGAGAATATTTTATTGCTTTATGCTCCAGAACTATTTTGCAAAATATTTGGGTGTCATCGCACTGCTTTGGCTAAAATATTTTATTTTTGTCCAGCTCCTGCAACCACCCTGAAACCTTTATCCCTGCTTTGGCGTTGGGCATTTCTAGGATTACTAAAATAAATTGTTGGCAATATTAATAGTTTTTGTAAAGGAAATACCTATTATTTAATTAAATCTCTATAAACTTACCAAAAACAAGCAGGCCGACGCCGAACAAATAATATAAACAAATACCACAGACAAACAAACAAACAAAATTTGTCTGACATTACAAACAAAAGCACGATACGTTGATTCCAACGGTTGTCAAAGTTGCTTTATTGCAATGAAACATATATTTTTTTCTGAAAAATTAAAAGAGGCTATTAAAAGAGGCTCATAAAAATGTCCTTTAGGACAATAAATAAAAATTTCGCCATTTTAGACATTTAGGCAAAAACAAAGGGGTGTCAAACGCTTTATTTTTAGGATTAATTTCAAGGTCCCAAACAAATGCCTGAAATAAAAACAAAATGGCATTTTGCATAAAATCCGGTCCTTGCTTATCTGTGTTGAACCCAACAATTTCGCCTAGTGCAACGTTTGGTTTGAAATATGTTCGATACGTGAGCCAATCTGTGGAATTTCGGATATTACGCGACGGCATTGTCTGTTACTAACGTTTAATAGTGAATTTGTTTTTCTAGCAATTTATTAACCAGAGGGACATGCCAATTATATCCCCAAAAATTAAGGGTTTTCTATAACTTTATAAAGTTATCTTGTAAAAAAACCTAAAAAATTGATCTTTTGACCTTAAATTTGGTGTGCCCTAAGTGTCTTAACACCCTGTATGAGGTATTCAATTTAAGTTATCGACATGAGGAAAGGGCGACTGAACAACGTTTAAATTTGCTCGCATAAATTAAGCGATCTTTAAATTGGTAGGGATAATCGAAATCGATTTCGGATAAATATTCTCAAACTTTCCGAACGATTGCAAATTATTATTACGATAATGGTCGTATTATAGTACAGGTTTAACAGTGTTCATGAATTCCTAATTTTAAAGACATCAATTATTTTGTCAATTTAAAAAACTATTTTTAAATTTGAAATTTATTCATGTAATGTATTTTTAACGTATACCTTTCAAATTCAAATGTGTATGGGTCATTCCACCAAATAATTTTGGGGGGAAGCGTCCCCCCAAAATTATTTCGCAGCGTCCGGACGCTGCGAATTTTTTTTAATCTTGTGGACTTTCTTTTATATCAAAATACTGAAAATTTGAGCTCTTAATAATTACTTTTCTATAGTAGGTACTATAGTACTTATACACTCTTTAAAATATCTGTGGTTTAAAGGGTAATCTAAAAATGGTGTCTAAATCCAACATCAAGTGGAATTAATATAAGCACCATAAATTATGGTTGAAAATGTTATATACACTAAACACCAAAACGGTGTTTATCTAAAAATATTTGATCTTTTCGAACTACTGAGAAGTGCACTTTACACCTAGTATGATTTAATTTGACCAAGAACACATAATATTTTACACTGAAAAGGAGTTCAATTTACACTATTTTAGTATTTGAATTTACACTGGACCAACGAACCATATAGAGAACCACACTGCAATAGCTAAGCGCTCTGTAAAATACCTCGGTATAATCGGACAGAAGACTGAGGTTTGTTCCTCACATTTCTTCCCTCAAGTCCAGACTTTCTCAAGCTCTTAAAGCACTATAACCCCTCATCATCAAACTCTCCGCTGTCATTCGAAAACAAAATTATACTATACAAATCCTGCATCAGACCGGTAATCACCAACTCGGGCAGATATACTCTATATCGACGACATGCACAAAGCAGTAAGCCTGCCTTATCTAAAAGAGTATGGATCAGGCAAACAAATTTTACACTAAGAAACTACACCGTCACCCGTTAACACTCTACATAACCACGCTCAGACAACACCACAATGCGCGCTATAAACATGGTTTGATCTATGGCAGAGTGCCGATATTTCGCGACCCCCCGGTGCATCACTAACACGTGTGTTCAGAACAATACGCGACGTGGGCGATATCCGCGAGGGCTTTAGGGTTTTCGATCCCCAGGATTATCTCCAACGAAAGTTTTAACATCCCCTTCACATCCAACCGTAGTACTAAACCCATGGTGCTGCTACAGCAGGTCTTTCTCTTCACTCTTTCTCTTTTTGTTTGTTTGCTACTTTTCCAAATTTTTCCAAGGGAGTTTTTTGAATTTATTTTTCTCCTGAAATATTCTCCTAAATTTATCATTTAACTCAACATTCCTTTTCCTTACATTTTTCTCCTACGCGGACTAAGCTACACTGTAGGTAAATGTTCAACTCTTGAAATATCACAGCTAAACGCTCGAACACGTAAACATAATTTTTAGTCGTAGATTTCAAATCCGTGCTCGGTTTGGCTGAATCAGGTCTAAAAAACTTTTTCCGATCCAGGGACACACTGTATACTGGTATATTATAATTTGTAAAATAATATATTTCACCTCTTGTGCCAACATTCCTATGCTTTTTATTTCAATAAACATAATATCCTCAATTATACTCAATTAAAAAAAATTAGCAAAAAAATATTTTGAATTTCCTAAATTATCTATAAAAAACTCTCGGGGACCCCTGTTCCTTTTGATCAATTCACTTCAAATTTTGCAATAATTTGTTTTTTTTTTAATTTGGAACTGATGTGTGGATATAGCCAAATTAATTTTTTTTAAATTTATACAGGGTGTTTTCAATATCTTTGAATTTTGACCTGATACTGGATACACGAATTTGTAATCTACGACCAAGTATTTTTTTTCAATAATTGAAGATATCTCAGTAAACACATACACGTTTTTTAAACGTATTTAAAACGTGTAAAAGGTCAATAAAACGTTTTACGTAGAAAAAGCAACGGTTTGATTTTGGTATAAATTTAAACAAATTAATTTAAACGTTAAAACAACGTTAATTTAAATATGCTTTTTAATAGTGGCTAACTTTTACGTTTCAATAACGTTGTATTAAGATGTTCAGTCAACCATATATTTAAATGTTTAAATCACGTTTCAATCCACAATTTTTTTCACAAATAAGAGTTTTAATCAGAAAATAACGTTTGAAGTAATTATTTTATGAACTGTGCAGTCAGCTCTTTCTTTTAATATTTATTGGTGAATTACTTTTTATATATTTATTTTGTGATATTTTTGCTTACACATGTAGACAATATGACTTCTTTGTAGGTATAAAATCTAAGAATTTTGTTCGTTAAAAAAATGAATTATGAATGAATGTTAAATGAATAATTTAACTTTCTCACTTTTTTAAAAGTATATTTTTATAACGTTAATAAATTGGTTTTTGTCAAATACAAATAAACTTTTATCAACAACGTTTTTCTATAAAATGGGATAACTTGTTTAAAAATAATTTATAACGTTTAATATTTAATAAATTACTTAAACAATATACATAGGTATATAAACAACATTAAATGAAATTAAGAAATTTTCTAATTACATTCTAAAGAAAAGCATAAGTAATTGTATTCAGTGGTCATACAGTAAGCTTTAGGCAGAACACTATCTACAAATGTTGCTTTAAAAAGTGCATTATTTTATTAACATTCTTACGTTTAAACAAACGTATTTAATACGTTTGAACAAATGTACTTAAACGTACTTAATACATTTAAACAAACTTACTTAATACGTTTAAATAAACGTACTTAATAGGTTTAAATAAACGTACTTAATACGTTTATACATACCCATATAAAACGCATAACTGAAGAAAGCAATCTGATTGGCCGAATACACATCATGTGATTGGGCCTGCCAATGGCAGGCTGCCATGCCATATTATTTTTCTATGGTATTTTTTGGAAATGTAGAAAAAGTATAGTCTGAAACACATTTGGAATTGCATATTCCAGTCTCGAGAAACCGTCTCGAGAAGCCTTCGGCTCGTGTGACAAACTTTTTATTCGAGCGGAATGTATGTAACTAGTTACAGTATTTACTATTATTATATTATTTATGAAAACTCAGACAAAATTGGCGTTAAATTGACAGATGCATAATCTCAAATATTAAAAAAAAAAAACGATTTTAATATTTAATTGTATTTAAACAAAAAATAACCCCATCGCACAGTGGTCGAAAACACACGGACCATCTTTGAAAAAACTGACGTCACGTTCGGAATAAAGTAGCAATAAGGGGGTTTTCGGGGTCAAGGACCTCAAATTTGAGGTCAAAATGGGCTATTTTTTTTTATAAAAAAAAGTGTTTTCGGGGGTCAAGTAATCCAAATATAAGTTCATGAAATAAAAAAAAACATTTTATTTATTTATTTTGTTGAAGTTTTTTTACCAAAACTAACACATTATGATTAAAAAAAACTAAAAAAAAAATTACAAAGATAATGATAATATCAAATTACTCAAATAAATTTGCTCAAAATTTAATAGAATCTTCATTTATAACAACATCGACAACAACCGGATATTCCACATCAAGCTCGTCATCATTCGGTGAACATGCATAAGGCGATAGCAGCTAATTTATGACTAAGTGGAGAACTTTTTGCTCGCATTGGTTGGTAACTCGATATCATTGGATCCGAAGATACCAGGAGTTTTTTTAATACTAATTTTAATAATAATCTTCCATTGTGTTTGCTCGCGTACACTTCCTGGAATTATAATGTATTTTATATCTTTATTTCGGGCCTCCTGACATGAAATGGGCATCTTGAAACACTTGTACAATTCAACATATCTTCGGGCAATGCCCAAGCAGAAATTTCGGAATTTTTTTTCAGCATTGACGTCGAAGCAACAGGACGCGTCGCGACGCCGCGGCGTCTGCAACACAACCTTTTCAATTTTCCAACAATTCTTCATCAACTTGGAAGATATTAGCTGCCGAAGAAGTGTTGTCGAAAAATCGCTGCGCGGTATTGCCTTTGTTGTATCAAGTCCTTCTTTCGGAATGTCGATGCGAAATCCCAGCTCCTTACAAAATTTTTCTTGAATTTCTATATTGCGTTTCTGGACATGCGCTTTCATTTCGCTTGTGCGCGCTTGCCATTTCTGATCTCCTTGTTCTGGATTGATTTTATAACCTAAATGCAGAAACAACTCCATAAATCTAATCCATGCATGTTATATACTAATGCCGAATTGGTAATGAGATTCGTTCACCTTCTTTTTTAGTATCTTTTCCAAATGTAACATCGCATTGGAGATGCGAATGCACCAAATGGAGACAGACAATATTTTCCTGCTCGGCAAAAACGCGAGGACCAAGGTTTCGCATTAGTCCAAACAATGACATTATTATTTTTGTCAAGGAGACAACAGGTGAAACAAATCAGATCTTTCGCAAATTTTCTAAATGTTAAATTTTGTGTAAACTTTTGATCAAAGGATTCAATGACTTTTGCCTGAGATTCTAATAATCGACCTGGAGTGTGATCAACTAGCTTGCAAGTTTACCTCCGCGCAAGTTTCAGAAATGGCTATTGTTTGGGGGTAACACCGATTTTAGGCGGCTAAAATAAAGTTATAGGCAGAGTAAACTGAGGTACGCCGATTTTCTTTCTTTCTTATCTAAATATAAGTTTCCTTGGTCATTTTGCCGGAAATCATCAAATTTAATGCTTCATCTGCAGAAATTACTACTACAGGCTCTTTCAAGGAATCGCGATATGCTAACTTATATTTAGAGAAGCGCGTTGGAGACGTAAAAGTAACCTCCTTCAAAATACTCGATACCTGTAGGGCTCCAGAAGCTTCATTTGCGTGGCATATACCAACTGATTTGTGCTGTACGAATTACGTAACTGCTCATTCTTCCTTCGCTTACTTCTATCGCTACTTTCAGCAAATTCGGAAGAGTGTGGACCGCTATGTTTTCGCTTCCTTCGCTTACTTCTATCGCTACTTTCAGCAAATTCGGAAGAGTGTGGACCGCTATGTTTTGTCGAAGTAGATGGTAATTCACTGTCAGAAGACTGTCAACGGGTTTTGTCAGTTTTAGCAAAGCTCTGAAATTTGAAAAATTGCGTAAAATACGAAAACTAATAAGAGTAAAAGAAAACACTCACTGTTTTTATTACAGTAGCGTCAAGTCAGGTTTTGTTTCTCTTCAAGAACCGATCATTATTTCTTGCCGCTTCTTTTTTTTTCATCAGGGTGTATGAAATCTGTCTTGTTTCGAATATTTTTCTTTTCAAACTTAAGGTTTATTAAGAGCTGTTGATCGTAGGCCAAGTTTAAGTCGGTTTTTATCAAAAAAATCTCTATTCGAGTAAACTCCATTATACACAATTGTGAGCCTTTAATGAGAACAAAATTGAACTTTATCTATAGAAATACGTTATGCCCAAATATATTTTCTAATTTCCATTCAATTGCAAGATGTCATTTTTTTACAGTCAGGTAATTTCTAGCATAGTTGAAAGTTTTAGAATTGTTTCAAAAAGGTTTCTAAAAACGTTTCAAAAAGATTTCTAGAAACATTTTTAAAATGTTTGTCCACAATTCCAGAAACGTTGTATTTAAAACGGCTATTGTAGAACCGACATTTTGTTTTTAAACATTTTAAAACCATGTCCAGACCCCAAAAACTCATTACTACTGTTTTCAGCTAAAGCTATAGCGCGGTGTTATTTTTTCCAAAGTCGGTCGGCCATTTTGAGTCCACCATTTTGTTTATGACAATTTGGACAATAAACTTGGATTTATTGTCCTTATAGAAATAATATTATATTCTAAGTTATTTTGCAATATAACTCTGTTAATAAACAACTTGATCTAATCTCGAATACCATGGTGCACAAGGTGCACCTGTAATATTTCAATCACTTACTGCGAAATGCCATTTGTACCTAAAGACCTTTATCATCCGTCTTTAATTATAATAGTTAATACATTCATACACAAAGTACCAGATTTCCATTAAGTCACAATAAAAAATATAATTTTAAAAAAGCAAATTTCATTAATCTATAACATGACCTTCTTAATGCTAACTGGAATTTCTTAGCCCAATGCAAAAACAAAAGGAATATATAGAAAGAAATGGCTTCAAAACAAGCAGACGTTCTTTCTTCTCGAATATAAACGAGTTTGTATCCAAACCAAAAATCAAATTAATAATGCCTATAATAACTATGTAAGTCTACAGTGCAAGAAAACATTAAAACAAACCCATCTGCCTTATGGAGCTATATAAATGAAAAACGCAACACAACACAAATTCCAGGGACCCTTTATTTAGAAGGCAAAAAGCTCACAAATCCTTCTATTGTCAACGCTTTTAGCATGTATTTTTAAGAAAATTTTAATGCCAATTCTTTGCAATTTACAACTGGTGATTATGGTATTCCTAGCTTTATTGTTAAATATTGTAGATTTACACTTGCAAATCCTTTAACATTAATTCTTAATATGTGCATTAGGAAATCAACATTCCCACAAAAATGGCGATAGAACATTAGTTGAAAATTACCAACCTACATCCATTCTATCAAATTTTTCAAAAATATTTGAATACATTTTATACTCTATAGAGTAGTATACTATATATTTTAATAATAAACAACTTATTTCACCCTATTAACATGGATTTGTTGTAGGACGGTCAACAGTTACTAATTTGGCATCTTTCACCCAATATATTTCTGAAATTTTGGATAGGCGTGGACAGGTCGATGTGATCTACACTGATTTATCGAAAGCTTTTGATAACATTAGTCATTCTATTTTAATACCAAAACTTAATGGTTTTGGGTTTTCTTCTAATTTCGTAAAACTTCTTAAATCATACTTGACTAATCGAAAATGCTACGTAAGTTATAATGGTCTTTTACCACCTCTGAAGTACCCCACGGCTCCGGTCTAGGTCCACTTTTATTTAATTTGCTACGAAAAAAACATTTATTTTTCAGTTTTGGCCAGCTTTTCTTCCATTTCCGATGCAATCGAATTTTTCATTTTCATTAAGTTTTTTAGGGTCTTCCGTTAGGTACAATTAAGTATGAATATATAAATATTTTCATTGAAAAGCTAAGATTTTTTCACAAAAAAACAGTACTTTTTGTATTTTTATTTAACATTATTTACATTAAAAAATAACGATAAAGTTTAGAAAAAATATGGACAAAATTAGAAAAATCATTACTTAAGAGCTGAGATCTTCAGCTCAAATCTTCAGTAAGTCATTATTTTGATGAAGAGAACAACTCCACAAAATTAAAAAAAATTCGCGGGGGTCACTTGCAAAATAAAATTTGGGATGACCCATATATTTAAATTATTTAAATCTTTTGCAGTTTTAACATAAGTTCTCAAATTATTTTTCGCACGTAAGCCAAACAGAAGTACTGCTCTCTAAAACATAAATTTTTATGTAAAAAAGCGGAATTCGTTTAATTTATATTTAGAATATTGCAAAAAGGACGAGCACACGGTGATTATAATAAATGATACTGGCTTGACACTGTTTTTGTATTAAGTTTGTAGGCATTTAAAATAACATTATCCCCCTTTCTGCTGCCGACCCTTTTCCCTGTTCATTTACGAAATGACAACTTAAACACTTATTTATGTTTGTTTATTTCCTTCTTCTTCTGTTTTAATTCAATTCTACCAACAATTATGTGAGTTAAAATTGAAATAATCCTTTTCTAAAACTTATTTAATTAACTAAATAGTTCACTTAAAATTTTCAATGGCAATTTTTGTTTAAGAAACAGGAACAATCTATATCCGGGGGGGTTACCTACCAAAAGAATACGAAGCTTGATAAAAAAATAAAAATAAAAAAAGATTTACTGGCTACTATAGAATATTGTCTGAATATATTCCGATAAAACATAACGAAGTTGACCTACATTAACAGCAGAGACAATTAAGATTCACTTACTTTTGATTAATTTTCACGGTAACCAAGCGCATGCTAAAGTAATTAAATTTTAATTATAGGCCGTCACCGATATTTAGGAACAGGGCTGTCACTGTTACAGTATTATACACTCTGAATTCTACTATAGTATATATAGTAAAATATTATAGCGTATAACTATTATAGTTGAATAATGAAATCAAAGTCAAATGTTTGGACGGAAACGTAAAAAAATTTGCTTATTAGAATCCTATTGATTAAAATTATGCTGTCTTACGTTGGGTAACGACAGCCCAATTTAAAAGAATCTGCCAGTGGAGTTGAGTTATATTTTTAACCCTAAGAATTGTTTTAATCAAAAACTCGATGCAAATGAAAACATCAAAAGAAATTTTAATTAATTTCCACATATCATCGTTCTTTTAGGTATGCGAGGTTTCATAAATTTCAGTTAAATGAAAAAAAGAAAAAATAAAGTATTACATGTGTTTGGTATTACGTGAATATTTTCATGAAAGGTTTTTAATATACTACCCTTCTCTGCGGGGCTGATTCTGCTTGTAAAAAAGTATAAAATATTGCAAACTTTGACTCTGCGAAAATATTTTATTGCGTGAAAATTGATTTTCGTCCCTTATGTATGTGTTATCAAATAAAAATAAAGATTTTGACTCTATAATATAAACCCACACAGCAAGTTTATCTTCAAAATAATTGTGTACAAATACAAATACAAACACAGACAAGGTCTTTTTATTGTGTAGAATAAATTTTTCAGGTGGATAAACTTCCAGAAAGTTTAGATATAAATAAGGAAAAGTCGCAAAGGAAACTTTTGTAATATTTTTGAAACTTCAAAGAACGTAATGCATTGATATGTGGATACTTTTATACAGGGGTATGTTAAGTAGCGACAACTTAAAATCTAAAATTATAAAAATCGTTAAAAACATCCTAAAAAGTCTGCAACTTCGTAAAACAATTTATAAAAAAACATAGCATCTCCTTTTTTCGTTATAGGGTGCGTTTCAAGAATACATTACATGTGCATTTTGCAAAAATATTGCAATTTATTGAAATTTAATTCAGATATACCTTGGAAAACGTAGGTACTTAAAATTTAT